TGAGTGTCACACACCTCCTGATTGGCTGGCTGAGTGTTACATGCCTCCTGATTGGCTGGCTGCTTGTTACACGCCTCCTGATTTGCTGGCTAAGTGTCACATACATCCTGATTGGCTTGCTGAGGGTCACATGCATCCTGATTGGCTGGCCGAGTTCCAAAGATTTCCTGATTAGCTGAATGTTAAATCCACCCTCATTGGCTGTTTCTTTGCTGATTGTTACATGCTTCCTGAATTTGCTGATTTTTACATGCATGCTTATTGGCTGATTGTTACATGCATGCTTATTGGCTGATTGTTACAGGCTTCCTGATTCGCTGAATGTGAAATCCATCCTCATTGGCTGTTTCTTACATGCATCCTGATTGGCTGAATATTGAAGGCTTTCTCACTGGTGAAAACACTAAAACTGTGTTTAACCCTGTTTTTTGTTCGTCTGGATAAGATCTACGTGTGTGCTGATTTTTATGCATATCAGTGAAAGGGGCCCCGGTTGGAACAGTTTATTGGCCCCTGAGGGGCAATTTTGCTACGCTCAAGTAGACCCCTAGAAAATAGGAAATGTTTCACCATGACTGACATCCTCACTGGCTGAATGTTACATGCATCCTCATTGGCTGATTGTAAAACCCATCCTGATTGGCTGCATGTTACATACATCCTGATTTGCTGATTGGGAAATCCATCCTGATTGGCTAATTTGTTCACTTAATTAGCAATTTTTTTACATGCATCCCGATTGGCTGATTGTTATATGCATCCTCATTGATTGTCACATGCATCCTGATGTGCTAAATGTTAAATGGATCCTGACTGGCTGAATTTCAAAGGTGTCCTAAATGGCTGATTGTTACATGCATTGTGATTGATTGTTTAATGAATCCTGATTGGCTGATTGTTATATTTATCCTGATTGGCTGAATGTTAAATTCTTCCTGATTAGCTAAATGTGAAAGCCATCCTGATTGGCTGAATGTTAAAGTCCTCCTTATTGGCTGATTGTTACATTCATCCTGATTATCTGATTGTTAAATACAGCCCAACCGGCTGATTGTTACATGAATCCTGATTGATAGAATGCTAAAGGCCTCCTGATAAGCTGGTTATTACATGCCTCCTGAGCACTGATGGGCAGTAACATGTTAGGAGTAACGTGTTACTGTAATCCGATTACTTTTTTCAAGTAACGAGTAAAGTAAGGGATTACAATTGCAAAAACAGTAATTAGATTTCTGTTACTTTCCCGCAAGCAGGCTGCGTTACTTAACCGTGATTTTGTTTTGTGAGACTGTCTCGTGAGTGACAATGACGTATGAGCGCTGCAACAAACACTGACACCTGTAGTCATCAACAAGAGACAACATGGAGCGCGGGACAGAGCAAGACCATGCAGCGTTTAAAGCTTGGAAGTACCGACATAACTTTGAGTTTGACTCGGTAAAAGGTGACAAAAACATTAGCGTCCGCTGTACACTGCGTTGGAAGAAAACTTTTATCTACAGCGAAAAATTCCACCTCCTATCTGAGCAAGCACCTAGCAAGCTGGCACAGGTCAGAGACTGTTGCATTTAATTTAATTTTTGCTTGATGCAATGTGCAAAGTTAAAAGATTGAAACTAATAAAACAAGTTTTAAAAAAGAAATTTGATTCAATTTTAGATGATGGAATTATTATTTAGGGCTGCTCGATTATGGAAAAAATCATAATCACGATTATTTGGGTCAAAATTGAAATCACGATTATTGAAACGATTACGATCGGACGGGCCTGCCCCCACTGCTAAAAAAAATCCTAGGGGAAACACTGATTACCTGTTACTGTTACGCTTTACCTGTTCCATCAAAAACAACGTGACTGACTCATGTGCAGTGCATGCTGGGGGGCAGGGACGTAAATACGCTTGCGCGAAATCCTTCCTGATTTGCTGATTATTAAGTGCACATTATTGGCTTATATTTATATGCATCCTGATAGGCTGATTGTTAAAGGCATCCTGATTGGTTGATTGTTACATGAATCCTAATAGCTTGAATGTCACATGCATACTGATTGGCTATTTCTTCACTTAATTAGCAAATTTGTTACATGTGTCTTAAATTGGCTGAATGGCAAAGGCCTACTGAATGGGGCTGTAGCGATACACTAATCTCACGATACGATACAATACAATACACGATATTCAGCTCACGATACGATATATATCACGTGCTGGAGAAAATGAATCAAAGATGTGGTGAGAAAATTGGTTTCATTTATTGAAACAGTGCAAACTTACAAACTTTTGAAAAGTAAATAAAGTGCCTTAAAATAAACAATCAAGACTTAAAAAGTGCAGCAAGTGGCCTGTTCTGAACAGATTCTGAATGTATGAGGTAGCCAATCTAGCCACCAGGTAGGTAAAAATAAACCATGGCAATAAGAACGAAGCCAATAATTCAAGTACATAGGACAGGAGGAACATTTAAACCAACTTAAAACTGTACCCGTCTTAGAAGAGTAGCTTAAGGCCTGCAGGCCCTGACCTACAAGTAAACACTAAACAGAAAGTCTCCTCTCCACATAACTGCAGACCAAGTGATCTACATTCTCTTCAGATTTTTGTTCAGAAATATAATCTGATCGATGTGTTCTGGGAGAAGTGCACTTCTCTGAGCAGTGATGATATCTCCGGCGGTGGAGAAGACCCTCTCCGAGGAGACGCTAGTGCCAGGGATGCAGAGGTACCTTTTAGCAAGGTGTGACAAGAGTGGATACTCATACTGGTGTTAACGTACTAGTTAGCTAACTAACGTTACCCGCTAACGTTTGCATGTTTGTAGCTATACACAAAGTGACATCTGTTCCGTTGTGTGATGAAGTCTTCATCTGAATATGTACACCCTGCCTGCCGGCGAATGACAGCTTGATAAGTAACGTTAGTTTAAAAACAAAAAACCTTATGCCAACTAGGCTGTATCATATATGGCTAGCAGGATGTGAAACATTGTAGCCTACCTGCTTATCCACTCCACATAGCATCAGACAACAGACAAGAGCAGCTGGGGCAGTGAAATGCCTATAATCCTGTTAGCAATCTGTTAGGTTGTAACATAGTAGTAATAACTGTACGATAGTATGTATGCAAAGTAACTGTAAGTAATAAGTAGACGCAGTACAACAGTAACGTGTCATTCATTCTGTATGTATTCTTCTTCTCATCATATCATATCAAATCACGTACATATGATAATACGTTTTCGCCACCTACTGGCGAACGTGTAACCACGTTTATGTTAAGATTACATGATTGACATGAAACATAACATCAGCGAATGAACAGTCTGAATGCACGTCAACTGTCTGCTATGACAGGAGAATTTATGACCGTCACTGTCATTAGAAGTGAACCCAGCTGGACGTCTGATTTGTCTACCCACGTGATGCCTTTATCTAACTAAAACGTTTTTTCTGTTAGGTACATCATTCCTACAGCTTGAATGAACCGCCTCTGACAGCTTGTGTTGCTGTGGAAAAGGAGGGACTGGTTCGATTTGGCCACTGCACCTGTATGGCCAGGTTAGGCGAAGTGTGCTTACATGTAGGTGCCATTCTGTACACATTGCAGGCAGCTGTCAACAAACTGCGTGGCACTACTTCCACTGACGAGGCCTGTACATGGAATGAGCCTAGTATAGCAGCCAGTAGAAAAATAGAGTGTGTAGAGGGGAGCCAGATTCCACCTCCAACTCCTGCTGAACGTGCAGCACTGTACAACATGCTACACCTTTCCAAGAAGAAGGAACCAGTAAGGAGTGCCATTCTAGCTTTAGTTCCTGGCCATGCACAGAGATATATACCTTGGGCTGTACAAATGAATATTCCTAAATCCCTTGGCAAAATGTACACGCCATTGAACAGGGCACTCTCACACGCAGAACTATACTCAAAGAGTGAAGAGGTCTTTGCGGGCTTGAGCATAACTGAGGAACAGGTACTTTATTTATACATTAGTGAGTGTGGTTTATGTATGTATGTCAGTGATATCTTAGGAAAAGGACATTTTGAGTGCAGGCTCAAAGTTTTCACAAAATTGTCAAAATGTAAATGTATTACTGGTGATTTGCTACATGAATTTCACACAGCCTTTTACATTTTAGTGCTGTGCAATAGAAAGCGAGACAAGACTTCAATCCAAATCCACTATGTGGTACGACCAGAAAGCAGGAAGGGTCACTGCATCTAACATCCGAGCAGCCTGCCACACTAACTTAGAAAAACCAGCTGTGTCCCTGCTGAAAAAAGCTTTGCTACCCCGTGGCCTACAAAGCATGAAGGAACATCACACCAACCTCAATGTCAGGAGGGCAGGGCTGGTCATTAATCCTAAATACCCATGGTTAGGGGCATCCCCAGATGGCATGTTAACGTGTGACTGCCATCGGATGGGTGTGTTAGAAGTGAAGGCACCAAGTAGTCTTGAGAACAGCAGTTTAGTTGACAAAATGAAACAGGATAGCACATTTTGTCTCCACGAGGTAGAGGGTAAAGTTTCACTAAAGAGGGACCACCAGTACTTCTACCAAGTGCAGACACAAATTCACTTAGCAGAGGCAAGCTACTGTGACTTTGTTGTTTGGGGACCAGGGATAGATGGCACATTGCACAAGGAGAAGTGCACATTGAGAGAATTATACCGGATACAGTCTTCTTTGAAACTATGCGTGGAAAGGTTCACACTTTTATCCGAACATGTGTCATTCCTGAGCTATTGGCAAAAAATGTTATAGCACCTGTTCATATCACATGATGCCACCAAATCATCTGAAGGCTGTTACTGTGGTATGCCTGTTCTGGATACTGATGACAAAATAGAGTGTACATCGGGAATCTGTAAAAGACTGTGCATGCACAGAAGTTGTTTGCAGACTACTGATCTTAGTGTTTTGAATTGGAAGTGCAGTGTCTGCAAACAGGAATTGGCAAAACGCAAGCGTGCACAAAGAAAACAAATGAAAAGTGCTGAATTTTGAATTGTACTGTTAGACAGACAAATACAGATTTATTCAATAAATAAATACAATGCACATACATAGATAAACAGATGAATACAAATAAATACAATGCACATAGGTATTCAAAGTGAAAATGTAATACATTTATGTACATACATGTTTTTTAGTGTGTGTAGTTTGTGCGTGTGTTTGTATAAATAAATCATTGTATATTTACATTGTATTAATGTTGTACTGTATTCAGTAGTGTTTAACCAGAAGGAATAATTGAGGGTGCCACGTTTGTAAGGGCACAACACACATGGACTACTTTGTCTAAAACTGTTAACCCTTTGGGGTGTTCAGCTTCACACATCTGGATACCAATAGTACTTTGTAGTATAGTGTATCGGTTTCTTGTTTCACCGATAACTCTCTCTACATGGATTCTTACTGAGGCAAGTCCATGTGTGGACTCCAGCTCCACTGGGCTCAATTGTTTCCTTCCTTTAGTGAAAGCTGGGATGTTCAGCTCAGCATTATACAAGCTAATAGACTCTGCCACGTTAAACCCTTGATCAGCCAGTATTACATCACCTGCACTGATGCATTCCAGAAACCCAGAATTTTCTGTGACACGTTTGTCTGATGTTCTGTCTCCCCATCCCTTAGATATGAATATGACTGTTCCTTGTGGTGATATGCCTATTAGGTATTTCATGGTGTGATGATGTTTATAGGTCGAATATGTTTGTGCTCTTGCTTCTAAGTCTTTGGGATTTTCTATAAAAAATTTTAAACAGTCAATTATGCAGGCACATCTAGGGTAAGTTTGTCTAAATATCATGGGCATTGACAGCCGAAGCTCTTCTCTCTGTGGCCAAAATAAAAATGATGGGACAAGCTTTGCATGTAGCATGTCTAGGGTAGTTCTAAAAGTTCTGCTTGCTGTCGCTATCGAGATTTGGAAGAGAACACTAAGTAGAGCAAGGGACAGGTTCATTTTCATCCTCATAAGAGTTAAAAGAAGTTGCTGGAAAGGAGAGAGGGTTGCGTGTGTCGGAAGACATAAAATAACACTAAATAAAACTACTTGCAGCTTGGCAAACGTGGGGAGTCCAGTCAGTGCTTTCACTTTTTCATCGTCATTTGCAAAAGCCTGTTCGTCCAATATTCCTAATTTGGTTTTCAGCCTGCGGTTTTCCTCCCTGAGGTCATCACACTCCTGCAGTACCTCTGCAATGGCATCTTTGCAGTGATTGCTGAGACACTGTTGTGGCACAGGCTCTACTGACAGTTCCAAGAGGACATCCACAGCATCTTGTTTCTTTTCCGCCTCCATCCTCTTGATTGGGATTCTGTTGTGCTGCTCATACCTTTTGTTTACAAGGACACAATGACATTTTTTGTCACATATACAGAACTAATATTGTAAAATATGTATTAAAATTACATTTGGTTATACTTTACTGTGCAGAGAGATCAACTAATAATGAACTGTTAAGAAAGAATTCAATACGAGAGTATTAGAAAAAAGAAAACACTAGATGAGCATGCAAAGTAAATGTCACAGCAATACATTTCAGACACAGCCTTATTATACAACATTCAAAGTCAAACCTTTCCATGTCTTTCTCCCTTTTCCTCTTTTTGGTGGCAGGGGTGTGAGAGAAGACGGATGGAACCCAATCAGGGGACAGCAGGTCATCAGATTTGGCACCTGAAATAATAAAATAAGATAATATAATAGATAAAAAACTTTATTGCTACACAAGGTTTTGGGTATTTTCAACGTACAGTCCTGTAGTTCCAGGTCTTTCTAGTAGCTATCAAGAACAGTCTGTTAGCGAGCTGGCTGCATAACTATGGACTGGGATGAACTCCAAGTAGCTAAATTGTGTAAAGCAGACAAGGTTTTTTAAGATAATCGAGCAGTAATAATTCCTCCGTAAATAATCCAGCTCTACTGTTGGGTCGTCTCTGGTTCTAATTGAAAACCATAGATATTACAAACCTCAAAACGACCTATCACACAACTTTGGTTGTTGTTAGCAAAAGACGACAGCTGCTAGCCTAGCTTAGACTGGTGCGTTCGTTTTGTCGAGAGCGAGGTCACATCCGTGTTTGAAAACGAGTAACCGCGGGTTTTTGCGTTCTGTTTGGCACACAACACGACGAGCTTGGTTGCAAAAGGCAGTTTGGACGTTTCGTAACGTTTATAGTGATTATCTGGTTTACGGTGCACCCACCGCGGATTTCACATGTTCATTACATATTACACAACCATATCACACAGTTTGATATCTGAATATTCCGTTTTGATTAACGTTACGATACTGCTCTGCTTTCTGCTCAAGACTCGGCATTGTTGTCATAGCAACATGGAGCGTCTCTAGCCAATTTCAGCTGCACAAGCTACAAAATAACTAATCCATCGAGTCGGGTGGATAAAACGAACGCACCATAATAACACAAACAGCTGACTCGCCGAACCAGCTGGTGTTGTTGATTTAAGAAACTACAGGGTAACTTAAAGACACGATTAATTACATGCCCATACACCCATTGTATTCAAACAAATGTTGAAATTACCTTTGATAAAATGATCACTGCACAGACGTGTATACTGTGAAGGTTGCCAGGTCCCATTTCCTGAAACGGTTGCACGTCTGATAGCCTGTATCCATAACGTTAGTTGTCTTCTCTCAGGATTCTCCTTATCAGATGGGATCCGGTGAAAACATAACCCCGGATTATCTCCTCGGCGGTTAGTGCATCCAGTCGCACAACAACTATCTGGCATGTCGTTTTCACCTCAAAACGCCAACTTTAGTAGATAAAAACTGGCGACGTCCTGGCGAAATCCTTGATTAACGTTAGTTTACTGGGTTCCGTTGCTGGAGAACGATGTTCTTGCCCGCCAGCCAGTAGTTGTGACGTCACGTGCAAAAGAACAGTGCTCGGGCCCTAATAAATATCTTATTCTTATAATAGCTCCGACCCGGTCATTGACAGTATATATAAGGTCCAATATGGCGGTGACGTTGACGTACGATCTGGCCGCCAACACATCTACCATACTGTCAATAGTATGGTTTACCACCCACCGTTCCGCGGTCCTGGGGAACGGAAGTCATACTTTTATTTTTGCAGTCGGACGAGTTACGAGGGTGCACTGCAAGGCGCTTTAGTGACCGATGACTGCTGAATGTGTGCAGTTGTTATTGGAAAGGTAGAGTAGTTTCTTTATTAAAACAGCAGTGTTGTTTCTGTTTGAGTTATTTAAGCGAGGATTACATAGTTTATATTCATAACGTTTTCCGACATTGTTGCAACTGTTGGCTATAGAGGTTTAACGGTAAATGTATAAATTTAATAATAGTCAATGGAGCGAGGTTAACATTTCAGATCAATAACTTTTTAACACATTGGTTGTGTAGTGTAAAATCAGGCTTATAATGCTCGTAACGCTTGCATGTAAAATTACAAGGAGGTTTTCAAATGTGTTCCCATTGAGAAATGTTTGCATCAGCCAATGATTGCATATCGTTAGTTACGACCATAAGTTGAAACATTTTTAACTGGTTTTCAGAGTAACTCATTGCCGTATACGTGCGCATGTTGTGATTTGTCTCTGTTATTAGATTCGTCACACATCTTTCGTCACATCTCATATCTACAGCGGTGAATATGATCGTATAAGTGAGTACTACATTACAGCCCCCTACGACACTACACATTTTGAAAATACTTTTAAACAGTGACAATGTAACATTCACACTGTGCCACAGGAAGAGTAGAATACAAGAGATATATTGTAATACTCCACTAAGGCATGAACTTATGATTTACACTCATTATTCTCCTTTCTTTTGTGTATATTGGGTAGTAAAAAGTTTGGAAATCAAACTCCGACACAGCAAAGTAGTATTTAAATTCTTAATTGACTTTATTGCAATAAAACATTGGTCTTGTTTCTAAATTGTAATACTGACTCACAACCCATTAACGATGCTCTCAAACATGTGTCTTGTTAGCAAATATATCGATAAGGTTACATAAAGTTATACAGTCATGGAAAAAAGTATTGGCACCCCTGGAACTTTTCCAGAAAATGCACCATTTCTCCCAGAAAAGTGTTGTAATTACAAATGTTTTGGTATACACATGTTTATTTCCTTTAAGTGTATTGGGTCAACACAAAAAAGCAGAAGAAAAAAGCCAAATTTGACATCATTTTACACAAAACTCAAAAATCGGACAAAAAGTCGGACGAAATCATTGGCACCTTCAACTTAATATTTGGATGCACACCCTTTGGAGAAAATAACTGAAACCAATCGCTTCCTATAACCATCAACAAGTTTCCTACACCTCTCAACTGGAATTTTGGACCATTCTTCTTTCGCAAACTGCTCCAGGTCTCTCAGATTTGAAGGGTGCCTTCTCGCAACAGCAATTTTGAGATCTTTCCATAGGTGTTATATGGGATTTATATCTGGACACATTGCTGGCCACTTCAGAATTCTCCAGCGCTTTGTCTCCAACCATTTCTGGGTGCTTTGTGAGGTATGTTTTGGATCATTGTCCTGCTGGAACACCCATGACCTCTTACGCAGACCCAGCTTTCTGACACTAGGCCCTACATTACGGGCCAAAATCTTTTGATAGTCTCCAGATTTCATGATTCCTTGCACACAATCAATGCACCCAGTGCCAGAGGCAGCAAAACAACCCCAAAACATCTTTGAACCTCCACCATATTTGACTGTAGGTACCATGTTCTTTTCTTTGTAGGCCTCATTCTGTTTTCTGTAAACAGTAGAATGACGTGCTTTGCTAAAAAGCTCTTCCTTAGTCTCATCTGTCCACAAAACATTTTCCCTGAAGGATTGAGGCTTACTGAGGTATGTTTTTGCAAACTGCAGTCTGGCTTTTTTATGCCTCTGTGTCAGAGGTGGGGTTCTCCTCGGTCTCCTGCCATAGCGCTTCATCTCATTCAGATGACGACGTATGGTTCGAGCTGACACCGTTGCACCCTGAGTCTGCAGGACAGCCTGAATTTGTGTGGAAGTTGACTGAGGTTGTTTATCCACCATTCAAACTATCCTGCGTTACATTCTTTCATCAATTTTTCTCTTCTGTCCACGTCCAGGAAAATTTGCCACAGTTCCATGGGTTATAAACTTCTTGATTATATTGCGCACAATTGACAAAGGAACTTTAAGATCTCTGGAGATTGACTTGTAACCTTGAGATTGTTGATATTTTTCCACAATTTTGCTTCTGAAGTCCTCAGACAATTCTCGGCTCTTCTTTCTCTTCTCCATGCTTGGTGTGGCACACACAGGCACACAACACAAAGGTTGAGTCAACTTTTATACACTCTAACTGGCTTCAGTTTCGATTTCTATATTGTCAGCACCTGTTACTTGCCACAGATGTGTTTAAACGAAGATCACATGCTTGAAATGAAATTATTTACCCACAGTTTTAATAGGGTGCCAATGATTTTGTCCAGTTGATTTTTGGAGTTTTGTGTAAAATTATGTCAAATTTGGCTTTTTTCTTCTGCTTTATTTGTACACAAAAAAGCAATGAACTTAAAGGAAATAAACATGTGTATACCAAAACATTTGTAATTGCAACACGTTTCTGGGAGAAATGGTGCATTTTCTGGAAAAGTTCCAGGGGTGCCAATACTTTCGTCCATGACTGTATATAGAATAATACTGTATATGTAAGTGTACAATTCTCTCCTACAATGTGATATATGTTTTTTTTTTGTTTCTTTACCTTGTCTTTCATTCAGAAACTTTATCTCATAATTTTTTTATATTCCCCTTCTATCTTTGTACAGCACAAGTAAAAACACGTAAGGCATAAACATGATAAGCATAAGTGGGGATGTAGGAGATTTAATTGGTGGTGTTTGAAACTGTCAATGTTTTGCTTGGCTGTCAAAAGATCAAGATGAAAGTTGAACATGCAATTCATGTAACCCAATCCTAATAAATTTTTTGAGTTAGCAAATTATATTTACTTTTCTTTTGATCCGGGCCCCGTATGGAAATAATAGTGCCAAACCACATCGAGGGTGTAAGGACAAAATATTTACTTGCTGCCGTATATATCCCACCCACTGACAGGTGCAATGATAACCATACGATCCGTGTTATTCACTTCACCTGTCAGTGGTCATAATGTTATGGCTGATCAGTGTATAATACCATTTATACATTTTAAATATACAGTATGTTGTAACAGTCAGCCTGTGTGTGCCCAGTCTCAGCAGGTATTGGGAAGTAGAAGACTTCAGTGCTGAGCTATTCTAAGACCATGAAAGATCAGCCATGGACCAGATCACTTTTCATCACGATACTGTGCTTTCTGATGTTCACATGCTCCTGCCAAACACATGCCATCTTATGACACGCCTCAACTATGTTGGACAACCTGGTGTGTATGATTACAATTTTAGTTATAGACTACTTCATGTCATGTCTGTAAATGAGTAAGTGGCTTATCATTTAGGAGGCTCTATTGGCAGAAATAAGAATATTACATTCATAGATATGTTTTCTTTAGTGTATAATTACCTTAAAATAAGAATCATTGTGTATTTCTTATCTTAGAATGAAGCATTTTCATCTACAGGAGGACCAAGTTCTCTTGCACAGAGGCTGCCATGTTGAACCACCATGTTTCTAAGATAAGATAAGATAAGATAAGATAATTCCTTTATTTATCCCCCTAAGGAGAAATTAATTTTGACACAGCAGCAATAGGACAAAGCAGCGCAAAAACAGAAAACAAACAATAGAATAGAAATAGAATAGAATATCACAGTAAAAATATTGCTAATATTATTAATATTTGAAGATAAAACTATAAATTAAAGTATATACACTATTTGTTGTTCAAGTAGGACATGGAGTCCAAAATATGAGCAGAAAATTAAACTTGACTAAAACTAAAAATACTAAAACTAAACTAAAACTACTAAACCACTAAAGTGGAAATTAAATATAAATAGTGCAAAAGGTTTGTGCGTTGTAGGTAGGAGTTGTAAACCAGTCTTTATCTGCTGGGGTTGGAGGTACTGGGAGCTGTGGCGTTGTGGAGTCTGATGGCAGATGGTACAAATGAGCCTCCAAACCGCTTTGAGGCTCGGGGCTGGGTCAGTCTGTAGCTGAAGATGCTCCTGAGCTGCCTCAGTTCAGCGTGGAGAGGATGACGGGTTGTCCATGATGGCTTTCAGCTTCCCTGGGATGACGTGTCTGCAGGTCTGCAACGGTGGAGTGGATGACGTCACAAGCGTGCGCCGCTACTGCCGATGGAGGAATGTAAACAGTGACAGCAATAGTGGCCGTAAACTCATGGGGCAGATAGTATGGCCTTAACCCTATGGCCAGAAGTTCAATATCAGGTGTGCAGATTTCTGCCTTCTTGACAACATGTCCAGGGTTACACCATTTAGAGTTCACAAAGACAGCGAGCCCTCCTCCAGACTCTGTTTCTTCCTGTCTGTCCGAAATAGACAAAAACTGGCCAGTTCCACTGAACAGTCTGGTGTAATGTCATTCAGCCATGTCTCCGTCAGACATAATATGCTGCACTGTACTCTCGCTGTCCGTTGACCAGGGCTGAGAGCTCGTCCGTCTTGTTGTTCAGCGAGCGTACGTTTCCCATGACAACCGAGGGAAGACATGGCTTGTATCTCCACCGCCTCTCTGTCTTCTTGGTCCTCACCAACGTGCCTGTTCTGGTTCCTCTCCTTCGTCTCCTTAACTCCACCGGGATCTCCCTCGGGCATGCGACACATAAATCCCGATACCGTAGGAAGTCCTCACGTGAATAACCTCTGGTGTTTTGTTGTGTGGTGGTTGTTGTGTCCACATTCCTACACATTGTTTATATTTTAAAAAAAGTTCAACTACGGCTAAAAAAGTTAAAAATTAACTACTAACACTGGAGGTGTTTTCCGCCTCTGAAAAATAAGAGGCGGAGCGGGAGCTGTTGCGTCGAGCTGCCACTCTCTGCAGCGCTTCTAGAACATGGTGGCACAAACCCCATAGTCAATCAACCAAACAGTGGCTCTGGATAGGGACTTTCACATTTCTCATGACCAACGTAGTTTCTCCTACATGCTTAGAACAGCAGTGACAGGTTGTTTCCCATTTTCTTATGATTTTCCAACTTCGCAGAAGCCTGCTGCGCCAATTGCTCGTCAACAGCACTTCGCCCTCTTGCTGGTGTACTCTTGAAGGTGTGACAGGAGTACCTTAGCTTAGGCAATAACAATATGAGGCACTGAATTTAATGAATTTACTGTTTCTCAGACAACAAATAAGACAAGAATTAGGTTGAAAAATGATATGATGACTGGAGCAGAGTGTTTCTGGGGACCAGGCCTCACTGATTACTGTACAAAAGCACACAACTTTTATAACTTTATTCACTGATTTTTGTGAAACTGGATCATATTTTATGGAGAAAATATTTTCTGGCTTTCCCTCTAATGTCCTCTGGCTACTCTGCTTGACATTTCAATGATTTACATAGTTTCCTGGAAATATAGCCATAGCTATGTGTTGTTAGCTTTGAGCTACTTTAGCTGCTAACTAGCTGCAACTTTTAGCTGGTTAGCTATGCAGCAAACCTAGCTACCCTATTTAGGTCACTCTCTCCACACTGGGAGCTCAGAGCACCAGGGCAGCATCAGTTTTTAACGTTATCTCTAGTACAGGAGCTTTGGACTGCCGGGAGCACCGGTGCTTCGAGCACCCTGTCCTTCAGCCGTTAGCAGCAGCTAGCAGTTAACTAATAGCACAAAGTACGGTTCATCTGTCCATCAGTAAACTCTATAAGTCCCCAAGAGTTGAGGCATACTACACTGTACATTTACTGCCAGATTGACGACTTTACTGCTTACCTTTTCCACTGTTCCGCTTTTAACCAATCAGTGGTCTGCAGTTTTTTTAGGTAATTTTTTAGAATTGGCTAAGCTCAAACCAAATCAAAATGGTACCAAAAGAAGTACCAGGTATTATACATAACTGAAAAACAAAAAAAAAGAGGTAGTAGAGTCAAGTTGGGCTGAGCTGTATACCAGCAGTGGAAAGGTGGCTATAAAAACTGCAAACGTGGACATGATCATTTTGTAAAATAGATTTTGATAACATAATATACAGTTCCTCTAACAAATTATTTCAAATGAAGGAGTGTGCTAATAACATGAAACAGAAAAGCATCCTAATCAGAGAGTTACTGTCACAGGTTTTGCCAATGATACTAATTAAGGTTTCATTCCATTTAGTGTAGCAGAGCCTTTCCAGTGAGCCAACATGCATAATAGCAGCACCCTGACTCTGTTTACCTGAATGGAACAGTACCTTAATTAGTATCATTGAAACACTTCAAAATGGCTGCTATGAAATAGGTTTATTGTAATAAACTTCTAAGATATAGAAATAGGTTTATTGTAATAAACTTCTAAGATAAAGAATGATACACTGAATAAATCAAATGTTTAATGTTTTGCATATATTTCCACTCACTTTCTAACATTGCTGTATTCATCCATCCAGTCTTCATCTCCAAATTCAAGATCTTGTCAGATGGTGAAAAGCTTGACAACAATGACCCAGGGAAAGCATTGAAGGATGCGGACGATTATGATGACCCAAAAGAGGGCCGGGAAAAAAACACAGAAGCCACACAAGGAAAAGATGGAGAGGGTTGTGGAGAAGGAAATATGAAACCATTCCTGGATGAGGACGGAGACCTTGACATCACACATCGGTATGGAAAAACTCATGTTCAGACAACAATTAAAACATGGTGAGCTATTGAGTTGTGAAGGTGTGTGCCAGCCCAAAGGATTTGAGACCAGACCTGGGCCATTATAGTCTCTTAACTTCTAACCTTTACCGTATATATCAAATATGTTCAACTTATTAGGCCTAAAACATAAGTTTTTGTATTTGTTTAAAGAGGTACGCCACCCTAAAATGTGTTTTTTTTTTGCTGAAAACTGAATTATAATACTATACTGTGATAGTGTTAAAAATACATTATTACCAAACTTCTGAAAATCTGCATTTTGCTTAGGGTCACAACGTTTATATAAAAAAACAGTGTTAACGCCCTCCAATCAGAGGACGGCGGCCCACAGAAAAGAGTAATGAGTAATACATTTTTCTTTTTTTTTTTTTTTTAGTAACTAGCCCAACACTGGCCATCTGCCACCTCAAGTAGCTTAACACTGCACACCAACGCACTAACAGTGTTTTCATTGTGATTTTTTAAATGCCTGAACATATCCCACACAGAAACATATATTCATGCTCCTGCCTGAACGCTAACCCATACTTATACACATGCACATCATTCTGCATTATTACATAGAAAGCATGAGGACTTACCACCAGGTTTCAGTATGTCCAGAGACATTTTGTGTACGATTCACCCCTATGCAACGCTGTGCAATTGGTTGTTGCTTCAAATGTATTTTTCATGTATCGGATCTTGGCATGCCACAATACCAGAAACTGTCTATAACAATATCAGTGGAATTTCACAATTCTTGATACCACAGTAAAAAACAAAACAATACATTTCATTAACTTAAATGTATGCTCCTTTCATAAAAACATTTTAACATTAGAAAAACAGCGGCCCCTTTTCTAATAGATGTTTTCTTATTTACTTAATTCACTACTTAACTCACAAACTACTTTACATCCGCTTTTCCCTTCAGTACTCTTTTTCCACACACGCACAAACCTACTCTCTAGGTCTCTCTCTCCCATTTTTTTGTGTTGGTAGGCCACCAAAATATGTGTGTACAAACATTAGAAAAGTGCTTTTTGCATAACCCTAACCCTTCAAATCAATCTATATCAATATATCAATCAATCTATATCTTCCGGCGCTGGCGCGAGCAGGACGCTTATCCAGTAGCTCTGTACGTGTTGTGTTGTTTTTAGAACTTTAAGTGTGTTTTTTTTAAACTTTTAACTCTTTATATTACACTAGCTGTGTAGAACTTTATATATCCTATGGATACAATGACTTTTTAACGGACAACATAGCGGTGGACATGTTGTTTATTCAAGGGAGAAGCTGCTTTCACTCCAAACAATAGGACGAGCCGGCATTTTCCACCACATACCTGAGGAGCTGATGAGGAGGCACCTAGGCTGCAGAGCCGGAGCGAAGGTGAAGGCTAGGCTAGCAGCTAAGCGGTGGAAGTACAAGCCCTTGGTTCCGTCGATAGTCATGACCTCAGACCGCAGACCACCCCCACCCTCCACACCCATGGACAGTTCAACCCCCCTCCCCACTACCATCACCAAGGATCAGGTGAGCAGAGAGCTGAGGAGGCTTCATCCAAGGAAAGCAGCGGGCCCGGACAGAATGTGTCCAAGGATGCTTAAAGCCTGTTCTGCTGAACTGGGGGAGCCACTCCAGCATGTCTTCAACCTGAGCCTGCAGCTGTGGTGCTCTGCGCCCAGTGCTCTGGAAGAATTCATGTCTCATCCCGGTTCCTAAGAAAAAACACCCCAGGGAGCTGGGTGACTTCAGACCAGTAGCACTGATGTCACACATAATGAAGAACTTCGAATGGCTCCTGCTCCATGTCCTGAGACCCCAGGTCCAGCACACACAAGATCCACTACAGTTTTAATTTTAAAATATTTTATTTTATATTTTATTTTTAGGGTTTTTAATTTTAGTTTAATGTATGTAATGTATGTTTTTGTATTTTGTTTGCTACTTGAATTTGAATTTCCCTCGGGATAAAGTATATCCATCTATGGTAAATGGACCTGTACTTGTATAGCGACTTTCTGGTCTTCCGACCACTCAAAGCGCTCTACGTGCCACATTCACCCAGTGATGGCAAAGTCCATCAAACAGAAACTAACATTCATACACCGATGCATGGCATCGGGAGAAATTTGGGGTTCAGTATCTTGCTCAAGGATACTTCGACATGTGGCACCAGGAGCCGGGGATCGAACCCACAACCTTGTGAATAAGGAACGACCCACTCTGCCTCTGAGCCACAGCCGTCCTATCTATCTATCTATCTATCTATCTATCTATCTATCTATCTATCTATCTGGCAAACTAACAAACTAGCTACATAGCTATCTGTCTGTCTATCTAGCTGTCTGGCTATCTATTACTATTGGCAAACTAACAAAAGCATAGTAGAATATGTTGTTCAGTGTCTGACTCAACAACCAAAAAGAACCTTGACAAAGTAGAATATTTGGTACAGACTGATCAACACCCTGTCGAAAAAGAACCTTGACAAAGTACAAAGTAACTCCCTGCTGATAAAAAACTGTGCTGTCATTTCAGTTATTCACCAAACATCTGTCTGAAGCGTCTCTGGTTTCAAATATATTTTTCCAAAGTTTATTTATTTGCTGCATTTATGAAGAAGTTCACAACTTTCTTTAACGCCCATTAGTTACACACAGTGTAATCCCCAATTTTTATAGCTTAACAATGTGTAGAGCAATACAGCCTAGTAGATTTCAGATGTAGTTGCTTAGTTTCACCAGCAGGGATGCGCATTCATCCCACACAAAAGCTGGCAGCGCTTTAGTTTCCTCTGTTTTTTTTCTATGCACCGATGCAGACCAGAGCCCCACATGAGAGATGAGAGAGTTTGATAAAGTTGATAACTGCCTGTAAAGTTGTAAAATTACAATTTTGCAGGACTTCCGTACAAGGAAGAGGGGTTTTTCTTGCCAAACCTGGCCGTGTGGATATTGATTTTTATCGAGTGAAAGCTCACACAGCCTAGACCGGTGGATTGTGGAGACAGGCCTACACGCGTGGAGGGTGTGACGTCAGCGGGAGCTTCACTGTGCATTGGAAAGAACATCTCTTCATACAGACATAAAACATAAAATCACACTACCCGGTAGATGAACAATTACACAACACACTGAAGACAAACTATTACACAAACACACCGAAGACGGACAGTGACAGAAGACTGTGAATATTGACTTAATTCAGACTTGACTTTCTTTTTTGACTCTTTTTGGACTCTTGAATTTCCTTTCTTGTTGTTTATTTTGGGCCCATATTTCATAACTCATACTGCAAAGTGTTTTGTTGTTCAACTAAGCATTATTCAGTGTAATTTCCTGAGTTGTTGATAACTTCTGATACAAGAAAGGAATATTCTGAAATATTTTATGTTTTGCACTTAAAGGTGGCACTGTTGCCAATAAAGCTATTTTTGTTACTACTCTTTCCAAACTGTTGTCCTGTTCCATCAATCCTCCTTGAGCGTATCTATTGACAGTAATTTTATTATATGTACATTAGACAGTGTTAAATTTCTTTTAAGGGTAAAACAGTTTCAGACAGGGCATGTCAAACTGGCAGTGTAGGTAGTTTATTTTAGATGTGGCATTATGGCCACATGGTGGGGCATCTACGTCACTGCCCGTTTGGCTGTGGTATAATTCCTGCCCTGTTACTGAATATATATTTTTGTTTTTACCAGTAGAATAAAGGGAACTTTAACCTGATTCCATTTTACAACCCTGACTTTGTAAAATGGCAATGAAATTACCTTGTATCCTTGTATACATTCCTTGACTATGTGCTCCTAACTGGGAGAAGCTGACTGCAATGACCGAAATGGTGGTGAAGACAGCAGCTCCCATGATCCCACACTATTTCACAATGTCATCAAACTTAGTCTTTTGTACTGTTTTGATGTGAGAGTGTCAGAAAAACAGAACAGTTTTCCCTACAAAAGAAACCACAGTTCTATCACTACCAGACTGAGACCGCTCTCAGATTTAGCATTTTCATCAGCCAAATAAAAATTTTGAAAAACACCTCACATGTTAAATATGTTAAATGTAATGGCTATGTGATAGCTCACCTGGTAGAGCTGGCGCCCCATGTACCAAGACTGAGTCCTTGCTGCAGAAAGTTAAAAGTTTTACCAATTTTCACAGAAGTAATGTTAAACTTATGATCCCTCTAGACCGAGGAAAAGCCCTATGGGGGGTAGCAGCCGAGACTTGGTCTGTCCCATCATTCTCAAACAGTCCAACCCTGTATTGCAACAAGAAGAGGAGAATGTGGATGATGAAGTTGATAAGTGCTTCAAAGGCATTATAAGGATTGGTAAGAACCATCTTTACTTTTCCATACTATACTTTCCTGACATGTTTTTATCATTTTATTATCCTTTTGGTTATCATGAATCAGTTTAATGCTGTAGAAGTTAAGGAATGCAAGAAGGAGGAGAAAGGTTTGGGGGTAGAGCGGGTCGTCCACTAATCAGAAGGTTGGTGGTTTGATCCCCAGCTCCTCCCTGCTGCATGTCGAAGTATCCTTAAGCAAGATACTGAACCCCAAATTGCTCCAGATGCTGTGCATCGTTGTGTGAATGTGTATCAATGAGTTAGATTCTGTTCGGCTTTGCCATCACCGAATGTGTGTGAAAAGGTGAATGTGACATGTAGTGTAAAAGCGCTTTGAGCGGTCGGAAGACTAGAAAAGCGCTATACAAGTACAGGTCCATCCATTTACCATGACATGAATTGGGAAGATAGAAAGGTCTCGCAACATTTGAAGGTCAGGAGCTCCAGGTTGGGTGAACAGTGAGAGACACAATGTTTCTGCCGTCACACCAGTGGTTATTGACCATGAGACATACTCCCCCCTCCACTTGATTTCCGCTGTAAGAAGAAGAATAATCTGGTTTATTGCCAAGTAAGTTTTTACACGTGTATGTATACAAGGGATTTGCCTTGGTGCATTGGTGCATAAAAATCATACAAAAATAAAGTACTTTTTAAAATATACATAAATAAAGATAAAGATAGAAAGATCAAACTGTACAGGAAAGATATTTACAATGTGCAGGACAGAAAAACCAACAGGAGTACATTATTGTATTGCATATATACAGGGTGGGTTTAAGAGTCAGTGTCTGGGCCTTGTTAATGAGGTCAGCGAGGGAAGTGTTTCAAAGAGTTTGTGTCTGGGGTGGAAGGGTTCAGCCACAATCTTGCCTGCATGCCTCAGTCCTAGAGGCCCTGAGCTGGGGGGAGGGGGGATGGTGTCAGGACTATTCCTTTTCTCTGTTGAAGCGACAGTAGAACTCAGCTTTCGTTTCAGATCGTTTGCTAGGCACAAGTCATTGATGGAGTCGGGGGTTTTAGGTTCGTAGGTGGTTATCTGTCTGAATCCCTTCCAGACAGAACCAGAGTCCTTGGCTGAGAACTGGTGTTTAAGTTTCTCAGAGTACTGTCGTTTAGCTTCTCTCACCCCCTCGCTAAACTTGTACTTTGAATCCCTAAACCTGTCCCTGTCCCCTCTCCTGAACGCTTGTTCCTTCTGCAGCCGTAACTGTCTGAGTTTGGCTGTGAACCAGGGATTGGTAAATGGTAAATGGTAAATGGACCTGTACTTGTATAGCGCCGTTCTAGTCTTCCGACCAGTGCTTTTGCACTACGTGCCACATTCGCTCTTTTACGCACATTCACTCAGCGATGGCAAAGGCCATCGAATGGAAACTAACGCATTCATACACATTCACACAATTTGGGGTTCAGTATCTTGCTCAAGGATACTTCGACATGTGGTGGGAGGAGCCGGGGATTGAACAAACAACCTCCCGACCCACTCTGAGCCACAGCCGCCTGGATTGTCATTGTTATAACTCACCCTGGTGCGTGATAGTACACAGCACCTAGCAACTCTGTGAAAAAGAGAGACGTCTTCAAAATAAAAGCCTCTCAACTGTAAACAGTAAATAAACACTATACTGAAAGACAGTTAAAGCATATAATGAAGGTAACAAAAATAAATTCAATCAGATGATCTGTTCTCTAGGTTTAAACCAGAAATTGTGTTATTTACACTGTGCAATAAATACCCAAGCATGTTAGCACTTACAGTGGGTACGGAAAGTATTCAGACCCCTTTAAAATTTTAACTCTTTGTTTCATTGCAGCCATTTGCTAAAATCAAAAAAGTTCATTTTATTTCTCATTAATGTACACTCAGCACCCCATCTTGACAGAAAAAAACAGAAATGTAGAAATTTTTGCAAATTTATTAAAAAAGAAAAACTACAGAGATATCCTGGAAGAAAACCTCTTCCAGAGTGCTCAGGACCTCAGACTGGGCTGAAGGTTCACCTTCCAACAAGACAATAACCCTAAGCACACAGCTAAAATAACAAAGGAGTGGCTTCGGAACAACTCTGTGACCATTCTTGACTGGCCCAGCCAGAGCCCTGACCTAAACCCAATTGAGCATCTCTGGAGAGATCTGAAAATGGCTGTCCACCAACGTTCACCATCCAACCTGACAGAACTGGAGAGGATCTGCAAGGAAGAATGGCAGAGGATCCCCAAATCCAGGTGTGAAAAACTTGTTGCATCATTCCCAAGAAGACTCATGGCTGTACTAGCCCAAAAGGGTGCTTCTACTCAATACTGAGCAAAGGGTCTGAATACTTATGACCATGTGATATTTCAGTTTTTCTTTTTTAATAAATTTGCAAACATTTCTACATTTCTGTTTTTTTCTGTCAAGATGGGGTGCTGAGTGTACATTAATGAGAAATAAAATGAACTTTTTTGATTTTAGCAAATGGCTGCAATGAAACAAAGAGTGAAAAATTTAAAGGGGTCTGAATACTTTCCGTACCCACTGTATATCTAGTGCTTAGGACTTAGATTCTTACTATCAGTGTCAAATGTACAGTAAAATGTCTCTTTCTTGTTTTAAGATGTTTTCATGTTGTTTTTGTGATGTTTCTTCTTTCTTCTATGGTGTCCAGAACACACTATGGCCACACCCCTGGAAGATGTCGGCAAACAGGTCGGTAATGTTTAGTCAGCTAAATTCTGTGCCCGTGCCCTAATCCTAACCCTAACCCACTGCCCCCCTTATTCTATTGCTCCTCCACCCCAAAACAAAACAGAATTAAGCAGTTTCACCTTTAAAACCCAGTCGTCTAGCCATCACAACTTGGCCCTTGTCAAAGTCGCTAAAATCCTTATGCTTCCCCATTTCCTGCTTCTAACACATCAACTTTGAGGACAAAATGTTTTTTTTGGCTGCCTAATATATCCCACCCACTGACAGGTGCCATGATAATGAGATAATCAGTGTTATTCACTTCACCTGTCAGTGGTCATAATGTTATGGCTGATATGTATGTATGTATGTATGTATGTATGCATGTATGTATGTATGTATGCTTAGGTTTTCAGTGAGCCCATACTGCGCAATGCACCAGATCTGTCAAACTAGGAACTGCTGGGTTAGACGTGGTAGACCACCAGCCACCTTGCTCAACAATCCATGTTCCCCGACTCCCAGCCTTCATCCACCAGCAACTCCAACATCATCGGACCTACGCTCTGCCAATCCGTCCCATCCATTCCGACTACTGGCATCTCTTCAGGATTCTCTGGAAGAGCGCATAATACTTTGCTGTGCACCTGACTTTCTCCAAAATATTGAATCATTGTCCTAAGCCGGATTTCGACAAACAACTACAAACTCTCATACATTCAAGATACTGAACCCCAAATTGCTCCCGATGCTGTGCATCAGTGTGTTGTATGAATGCGTTAGTTTCTGTTCGATGGACATCGCTGATAAATGAAATGAATATGTGTGTGAAAGGGTAAATGTGGCACGTAGTGTAAAAGCGCTTTGAGTGGTCGGAAGACTAGAAAGGCGCTATACAAGTACAGGTCCATTTACCATTTACTCTGATTTCCTCTTTCAATGACCTCGGAGTTCCTCTCTCACCTCCACCAACTCCAACATCATCGGACCTACGCTCCCAACAGCTCCAGGGTAGTCTTTGATCTTCTGCGTCCAACGGATATCCCTCCTTCCGCCACCTCGACCCGACTTCACCTCGCCATCTCTCCGACCGTCCTGGGCTCCAAATCTCACCCAAACATACCCTTCCAATGCACCGATAACAAAGCAAAACTTTTCCAACTTTTCACCTACTCCCAGCAATGCACCACTCTCCCTCGCTGAACTTCACGGCCGCTTCTGGGTTCCCAGCGCTGCGCAATTATGGCGATGCTACCAGCCAAAACCCTCAGTTTCCTTCCATTTCTTCTACTTCTCCTCCCCACAACCCATACATAGCTGGTGTTTCTTTTCCTTCATTTAATGCACCCCCTTTTCCCCCCAGCTCCCCCCTAGACGGACTGTGGGCTTTCCCCACCCATCCTCCAATGCAACAACTTCACTCTAGCCTTCACATTACCTCCGGTGCGCCCAGTGATTTCCTCCTGACCATCCCCCCGCGTCACAGATCCTTGCCTCTCACTACATCGACCTCGCCCATTTAATACAATCGTCCACATGCAACCCTCATATCCCCAGAGAACCGCAAACTGTACATGGTCCAATCAAACTCAAACAGCCACCATCTACTCACTTTAAAGAACGTTTTGCAGTAGAATTCACCTTCTTATTCCTCTTGTACCTTGACATAATTTGTTCAGCCTTCCCCAACTGCAGGTCACAGCTTGATGGTTACATGTCTTGGATACTTGATCTGGCCTTGTGGTTCAGTGGCAACAGATTGTACACATACCGCATTCTGTTTGCATCCCAGGCTGCCAGTTGCCTTCAACAATCCATAAGGGATCTTACTGGGGCTCATTAGATCCAGCCACACCTGCCAATCCGTCCCATCCATCCCGACTACTGGCATCTCTTCAGGATTCTCTGGAAGGGCGCATAGTACTTAGTGTGGCCGCGGCACATGCCGTCGTAACACGTTCGAACCACAACATGTAATTTTCACGTCACCCCACGCCAAAGCCCTTATCGTCGGAAGCTGAAGGAGACCGCTCTACATTGTCACGTGATTCAGACACTGTGCAAAAGACTTATGCGTTTATAGCGAGACTCTTCACTGCGAACCGTGGAAATTCAGCTCCATGCTACGGACACGCCGTTTGACGCACAGTAAATGTTTGATTAGCTTTTGATCACCAATTGGTCTAGATTGCAGTGATTGAATTTGAAGTCAATCCGATAAAATCTGTAGGAGGAGTTAGTTAAAATTGAATATTTTGCTGTGCACCTGACCTTCTCAAAAATATTTGATTCATTGTCCTAAGTACTCTGCCGGATCTCGACAAACAACTACAAACTCTCATACATACAAGATACTGAACCCCAAATTGCTCCCGATGCTGTGCATCAGGGTGTGAATGTGTATGAATGCATTAGTTTCTGGTGAATGTAGCAGGTAGTGTAAAAGCGCTTTGAGTGGTCGGAAGACTAGAAAGGTGCTATACAAGTACAGGTCCATTTACCATTTAATCTGATTTCTGCTTTCAATGACCTTGGAGTTCCTCTCTTCCAGAGAAAACAGGAGGTCCCTGCACATCCCTGGAATTTCTTGGCATTATCCTTGACTACGTTTCACTCCAAGCATCCCTGCCCACGAGAAAGTACACAGGATTTCCTTACTCATTTAAAATTTCCCCCTGACTCACAGATTCACTAAGTAACAACTTCTCTCACCGCTTGGCCACCTAAACTACACCATCTGCATCATCCCCCAAGGTCGATCCTTCGTCACACCTCCTTTCCATAACCTCCTCCTTCCCATCTCTCCACGGCCATGTCACACCAGACGATGCATTTAAATGTTACAGACCTCAAGCATGAGTTACCCGTAAGCAGGTATTGTGTCCTGTTTTGTACAGGAAAAGCAGAGACAGGAGACGTTACTTGTGTTTGCTCAGCAGGCTGTTCTCTGTTTTTTATTTAACAGAATCTTTCTTTTTCACTCCATTTAAACCAACTTAGTGTTTTGTTCACAACAATCTTCCTTATAACACATTTCGCAATTTACATGACATCAAGCTTTAAAGTTCATATACTAAACCACTGGACTGACATTTTACAAATGTACAAAATTACTGCTGAAAGAAACAGAAATCAAATTCAAACTCCTAATTTGTACACCAACAGTGATTGCTATTTAGGTCCAAAACCACATTTACATTAGCATTAATACTTTTAAGCCCAAGCTGTTCACATTTTTTACTAAATTCCTAAACACAAAGTATACATAACAATAACAGGCCATCATTACAAAAAATACCGTTGCTATTTTTAATTTTACCAAAATATTTTATCTATATATATTCAGTATTATCATGGTAACATGACTTAGATGAACGACTTAACAACTTTACATAACCGTACTTCACAAAGCTTTGGAAAAACAAATACAAGACATGGTATGTCAAGGAGCAGGGACCATAAATAAAAAGTATTAAGAGTAAGGGCGCCATGTTGTTTACCTTTTTCTTCACGGGAGCTAGCAAGACTTCATTGCAGGAAAACTTTCTTAGCTAAGCAAACTACTGTTTTGCACATCAAACGTTGTCAAAACAACATAATGAAGGTTTTAAAGTCCTTACAAATGCATTGTGACAAGATATGACACACTACTAACCTGTTTTGTACAGGAAAAGCAGAGACAGGAGATGTTACTTGTGATCACTCAGCAGGCTGTTCTCTGTTTGAGGAGTGGAAGCCTCAGGCAGCCCTACTAGTGCTCACCAAGGTGGACACTCCCTCTTGTGGCACAACTGGGAAATTACTACTCCAATATCTTGTAAAGATTCATTAACATTTGACCTTTTTCACTGGCTAATACACCAAACATTTTACCAGTTGTGACTATACATTTGTAAGCATCACATAAATGTAGTTAAAATTATGGCACCAGTTCCTCTCATCATGGAACGATATTTCATTCTTTTACAACGATCCAGCACTAAGGCATAAGATATCCAGCTGTTCACAGACGCAGCACCTTCTGCCAGCTTTGGCAGCTATTCCGGCGACAGGTAGTTTTCAGCCAAATGGCTGCCTAAATTCTCATCTCTCTCTTCTTCAACTTACCCTGTAAGATTAATAAAGTATATCTTCTTATTCTTCTTCTTTTTCTTAAACATAGCAGCTATTGGTCCAACAAAAAAAGATCACCACCACCACCATCCGACATCATAAACAAAGGACACTTCCTAGACATAATGCAGTTCATACGGAAGCTCACACTAGTATCAGCCCAGTATCAATTCATTCCTGAGCCTCTCACATCCGAGGTCACAAAAAACACAATCGCTGACACACTCGCTTCTCGTCGAGCACCAGCCTCCAACGCTGTTCTGACTCCAGTCTTGCCGTTTTCATCCACCATCTTCAAATGACTCCCCAGATGACAATGTGGTTGCTGTTTACCTTTGATCGACGCCCTTACTCTCTCTAGCTTCATCCCGTTCACCCGTTCCAATTTTCAAGATTAATGTACTCACACAAAATCGTTTTCGTCACATCCGCCAAATCACGTCCGAACATGAATGTCCCCAGATAGGAATGTCAACCTTCATCCCTTCATCCCTTCATCCCTACATCCCTCAACCCTTCATCCCTAAACCCTCGATCCCTTCATCCCTTAATCCCTTCATCCCTCAACCCCTACCCCTCACCCCTTCATCCTCAACCCTTTCCCAATCCATTCATTCCTCCTACAGTACACCACATTGGTTTACATTTATCTATTACACGCAATAAACCTTTCTAATTCCATACGTTTATTGACGTGGTGTTAGTGAAAGTCTGTATTATTAGTCTGTAATACAAGAACATTTCTGACCAGGACGCCATTTTTACCTCCTTGGAAACAGACAAACCACCATCCAACTCGCAGTATTGTAGAGTAGTTTGCTCCACAGCTCCACACAGTCACTTCTAGCTCCAAAAACCCAAGATGCCAACAGCCATTAAGCAAAAATTGAGGCTTCAGAAGAGTAATCCTCACCCCAACTGGTCGAGACAGACGACCACCCACCTAGAGCCGGAGGATCTGTCCTAGGTTTCTGCCTTTTAACAGGCAGTTTTTCCTTGCCCTTGTCGCCAAGTGCTTGCTCATGGTGGTACTGTTGGGTCTCTGTAATTAATGTTTTAAAGAGTTCGGTCTAGACCTGCTCTATTTGAAAAGTGTCCTGAGATAACTTCTGTTATGAATTGGCGCTATACAAATAAAATTGAATTGAATTGAATTGAATTAATCCACACACTACGGGGGAAGTCATAGTAGGTTCATGGCATAGCTTAGTATGCACACAGTGAAGCTGAAACGCAACTACACGCTACAAAGGAATGTAGCAAGTAAACAAATCTAGTCCACTCTACCTGTGTGAATAAGTGGTGTTTCATATTAAAAAGGCATTAAGCCTTATGTCTTTTTTTATTCACATCAGGTGTGGCGAGGGGCATTGCTCTTGGCTGATTTCATCCTCTCTAAACCAGCCACATTCAGAGGAACTACAGTCCTAGAGCTGGGTGCAGGAACCGGCTTAACCAGCATCATCATGGCAACCATAGCCAAAACAGTGTACTGCACAGGTATAGTCCCGATTTCTTTGAATATCTTAATCTGATTGTGCTATCCATTTGTCTCGTGAACTCGGAGCCCGAGTTGTTCTGCTGCGAGGACGTGACGTCATTGCCTGGCTTGTACCACTTATAGCGTTCCATTTGTCTTTGGGCGTCACGAGTCGGAAAGAACCAGTGCAGCAGCTGTCTTGTTATTGCTTGTGGCTCTTCTAAACAAGCTCAACACTAACATTTGAGGTAATTCCGTTATTGCAAGTCATTTCAATAATATTTTGCCATTTTCGCCTATTTCAAATTCAACAAGTGCTGTGGCGTTTGTCTTGAGCCACCAGGGGTAGTAGCAGGTTAGTGTTATTGTTAGCTAGATTAGCCTATTTAGCAAACCAGCTCGAAAACAAAACTTTACATTGTATTGCACGCACAGCAACACCGTGCAATGCATAAGTTGGTGACCGGACTAAAGCAGCAATGTAAACAAGTGTGTAGGAGCATTTAAAATCGACATTAAAATGACCAACGTAGTACAAATACAAAGAAAATACATCTCAATATGGGCGCTGCCATCTTTGTTTTGCGGGTCGTACGTACCCCCCCATCCAGCTCGGGGTACCCTGAGGCACCCCGAGCTGGACGGCTGAAATTCCGACCAAAAGGGGGTGTGTCTCAGTGAAATGTCACAAGATAGCTGCGAGATTTACACTTTCCAACTCGGGTTCCGAGTTCACGAGACAAATGGATAGCACCATGAATTAACAACTGTGAGATGCTGTTGAAAGCTCAGAAAAAGCAAGGAAATTGATTGATGATGAATTGATTGTGCTGAGATTAGTTTGTTACACATATTGATCCCAAGGTCTAGAATGACCTTCCATGCTTATCAAAGAATTCACAGAAATCTCAGTTGTAAAATTCAGATTTTATATATATATATATATATATATATATATATATATATATACACAGATGTGATTAATGGAACATTGCACAGGTCACAGCAGGAAATAAGTGTAGAAATAAATACAATTGCACAGGATAAAAAAAATGTATACAGCAGTGTAAATTAAACACAACACATAGCTATAAATGCACAGTACGGATTCAAAAAAGTGCAAAAAAGTGTCTGTGATAAGTTTTGGCTGATGTTACAGAGACAACAACACTACATTATGCCGTTGCTGAGTTAAAGAGTCTGACAGCTGTTGGAATGAAGGACCTGCAGTACCACTCCTTCTTGCACTGTGGGTGCGGCTGTGGGTGTTGCTGAAGGAGCTGCTCGACAGCAGTTTTATGCAGGGGGTGAGAGGTGTTGCATAATTGACATCAGCTTGGCTAACATCCTCTTTTCATCCATGCTCCTATGGTGTCAAGAGGGTAGTCAAGGACAGAACTAGCCCTAGTCGTTTTCTGACCCTATCTGTGCCTTCAGCTCCCCAACTGACTACTTTGTAGAGGATCGCAGACCACAACCTGCATCAGATATATCAGTGAGGATACTAAAAGACAGTACCCACCCCAGCCACAACCTGTTCACCCTGCTGCCATCTGGGAAGACGTACAGAAGCTTCTGCTGCCACGCCACCAGATTTAAGGACTTCTTCTCACCATTAAAATATATGATTGGGTGCTGAATCCTTAATCCTAAATCCAATCCAAATTGTAATGTAATAACAAAGAGGAAGGGCTAAACTGGATCAAAACTGCATTTAGGAAAGTATTGTTTTTTTAGGTGTGCTCCTCTGCCCTTGGCAGGGAATTTGGATGGGTATGATATCAAAAAGCTTTTTTGAAGTTGAGCAGCAAGACACCTCTGTCCATTTTCATTACTGAAAGACCTCTTTTTTTTTTTTTTTTTTTTTTTTACAGATGTGGGAGAAGACCTTCTAAGCATGTGCAAGAGAAATGTATTGTTAAATAGACATATGACAGAGCATTCAGGTGAGATAACTTTGATTACTCTTTTTATTACTTTTTTTGTCTTTTTGCCTTATTTCCTTCTCTATTATTCTAATACAAGTCCAGCTGATACCATGGCCACTGTTGCTGTACTTTTTCAGCTGGCCTGGGTTAGCAATTATGTGCTTCCTCCAGTATATGAAATTGTGTCTCATCCTTTTAATCAAATGTATGGGGAAGTTGACACCCCAAATTTACACTAACCTGTACAGTGTACAATGAAATACTAAGGAAAGCTTATGACTTTAATCTGTCTATTAATACTGTCTTTCAGGTGGTGAGGTGAGAGTGAGACATCTGGATTGGCTCCAGCATGACCTTTGTACAGGTAATAAATTTTTTTTAATTTTTTTTAAAAACAACCATGAGTATAAACTTCATCATAAAATAATTGTGTAAGTGAAAATGTGTGCTGTAGTTTTTTGTGAATTTTGAAGTGAGTTTGCCCCTGATACTTGTAAGTAACCTACCCTAACCTACCCAAGCTTAGCTGCAGCATTTTACAACCATATAAGTCACTAACTACAGCTTTTAGTTATACATACTGTGCCAAGTAGGCTTGGAAGACCTTATTCCAAAGGGATTGTGAGTTGCTGCTATAACAAGAACCAACCACCTTCTTCATCTTTGTCTTTGTCTTTCCATTTGTTTAATCTTTGTAGATGATGATGTGGAATTTAGCTGGACAGAGGATGAAGTAGCGGATATGCATAAGAACACCACCTTCATCATTGCTGCTGATGGTAGGTTATTGAGCTAATTATTAATAATCAAAACAACAATTATAATAATAACAATAATAATAATAAAAACAATAATAATTAAAGCTGCAAGCAGCATTGGGCAGGACCTCACACTCCACACAACTTGGGGCATGGTGCGGCCGCGGCACATGCCGTCGTAACACGTTCGAACCACAACATGTAATTTTCACGTCACCCCACACCAAAGCCCTTATCGTCAGAAGCTGAAGGAGACCGCTCTACATTGTCACGCGATTCAGACACTGTGCAAAAGACTTATGCGTTCATAGCGAGACTCTTCACTGCGAACCGTGGAAATTCAGCTCCATGCTACGGACACGCCGTTTGATGCACAGTAAATGTTTGATTAGCTTTTGATCACCAATTGGTCTAGATTGCAGTGATTGAATTTGAAGTCAATCCGATAAAATCTGTAGGAAGAGTTAGTTAAAATTGAAGCCCTGAAATTCCGATATGGCATCACAGTTTGACATTTGATTCAAGCTGGCCAACTTTGTCGGCACGCCACGGACACGCCCTTCAACGTACAGTCACAAATTGCACAAATTTTAATCAACAACATTTTTTGACTGTACTGGTCAATTTTGAAGCAGATCCGATAAATTCCCTAGGAGGAGTTTGTTCAAATACAAGGCAAAAAACTCACCAAAAATTACCACGGAATTCAAAATGGCCGACTTCCTGTTGTGTTTGGGTTATGGGTCCAAGAAGCGTTTTTGTACGTCCTAACTTGCTATCTATGCCTGCCAATTTTCATTCATGTCCACTAAACAGGACACCAGGTCTGGTTTTTTGAAAGTTTGTAGGGGGTGCTATCGAGCCATTTTGACACACCCACAGGCAACATCCATATGAAATGTAAAATGCTGCCATGTGGGACAAGTGTGCCTAGTTTCATGAGGTGTTGAGCTTGTTTAGCCCCCGCAAAATGCAATCAAATGTTAAAACAACAAGGTGATGCTCGCTGTGTCGCTACGGCAACACGGTTCAATAAAAATTCATAACATTCGTAAGATGTCATTGTCAACATTGTAAGGGTCTTTTGACCAAATTTCAACTTTGTGTGTTCAATCTGCTGGGAGAAATACATTAAAGTGTAATAAATTCCACCACTGGGTGGCGCTCTCACTATTAGGGAATATTATCACATAGATGAGTTCAAGGCGGGACTCTTATCAGACAAGTGAAGTTTGAAGCCGAATGGACAATGTACACTCAAGTTAGAGCAAACTTGTGTTTTGTGGCGGTATATCAAAATTTGACGCCATGCCACAGACACGCCGTCTCACCACATTCATCATATATCATCAACAATGTGTTTTGCATTTCATGAGTAAATTTCAGGTGCATCCTGCTAGGAGTAGAACGTGAAAGTATAAAATGGTAAATGGACCTGTATTTGTATAGCACATTTTTAGTCTTCCAGTTGCCACTTGTTGGCGCTCTCACTATTGCTGAACATAATCACATAGATGTGTTCAGGGCGGGACTCTAATCAAACATAAGAAGTTTTGTTGGGATCAGAGCATGTACGCAGAAGTTATGACAACTTTCAAGGCGAAGGATCGAAATTGGACGCCATGGGACACCACGCCACGTCCAAGCTGTTCGACGGAATGTCGTTAATAGCGCAACTTTTAATCGTGAATGTCTTTAGATGGCTGGGTTTAAATGTGGAGTCAATCCGATAGATTCCCTGCATGCAATCCAATGCAATGACCACAAAATCCAAAATGGCCGACTTCCTGTTGGGTTTGGGTTCTTTTATCACGATACACATGCGTTACGGATACATGTTGACCTTACGCGTCTTGGGGGCTGATTCGGGGCAGGGGGGCTTAGCCATACGTGAGTTTCTGCCACGTTTGAATTTTGTGTAAAATTTCCATGAGCTTTCAAGCATGTTGCGGCCGCCAAATATGAAGTGCTCACCTGGTGGAGTGTGCTCCCCATGTAGGCTTACTGCGGTGGCCCAAGTCCGATTCCAACCTGTGGGCCTTTGCTGCATGTAATCCTTCCTTTCTCTCCACCCCTTCCTGTGTTTCTTCATCTGTTGTATCAATTTAACGCATAAAAAAAACAGTATCTTTAAAAAAGAAAAAGAAAAAAGAAAATCTGCAGTCACAAGAATGTATCCTTGTTTATTATATATGAGATGAAGATATTTATTAAAAACATATATTAAAGACATTTTAGCCTCCTGAATAGAAAACATCTGGAAAATGCTGTCAAATGATGATGCAAATGAGCTAAAGAACTTTTAGGCAGCCAGCAAAAAATAGATGAAAATGGATTGGCAGCTATGACAATTTCTGAGCATGACGTCAGGAATGTCATGTGAACAAACAAAGCAGCAGGACCAGATGAGCATGTCCTCAAACTATGTGCTGATCCCCTAGTGCTCTTCCATCATTCCTTTGCCCCAAAAAAACAAGACCAGCCTGCCAGAATGACTATGATCCAGTGGCAATCACCTCTGTTGTGGATGAAGTGCTTTGAACAGTTGGTCAAGAATTACCTCTGTTCCTCACTACCTAGCATACTGGACCCACTAAAATTTGCCTATTGTCCCAACCGATCAATAAAATATGTCATAGTACACCCTATCTCATCAGGATAAGAAATGTATGTGAAATTGCTATTCATTGTACCCTACAAGCTCATCACAAAGCTCTAGAACCTTGGATTAAACACCTCACAATGCTTGTGGATCCTTGACGTCCTGACAGGCAGACCCCAGGTGGAGAAGGTATGCAGACACGCCTCTTCCACCTTCATCCTTAACCCCGGAGCACCCCAGGCTACGTTTTGAGCCCCATACTGTCCTCCATGTGCACACACGACTGTATAGCAACTTTCAACTCCCTACACCATCATCAAGTTTTTTGATGATACAGCTGTGGTGGATAGATAACAATGAAATGGCCTGACTGAAGGAAGTAGAGGACCTACTCTATTATTACTTCTGAAATAAGACATATGTGAATATATACTTTTCACCAAAGAAGATTGGGAAAGAATGTGTCTAAAAATGTTTCCAAACACATCCTCATTCATGAGGAGTGGCATCTCCACAGTACTAAATTGAGCCATTAGAGGTGCAATATGAATCACATAACTACGTAATACTAATACAGTCTGACAAGCAAGCAGAAAAAATATTTGGATTTGTTTTTTGTGTCACCAGTTTGCTATGATGATGATCTGACAGATGGCCTTTTCCGAACACTGTACCAACTCTGCAGTAACTTTACCCACAGCTGCACTGTCTTAATCTCCATAGAGAAAAGGTAAGGAGAAAATGTTGTGTGAATAAAACCCTGCTGTCCGTACATTGTTAAAGCAAGTGCCACATAAATGTAATTCTGACGATGTACAAAAGTTGTAGAGCAGAGAATGGAAGCATAACTAGCAGCATAACTAAGGTATGGTTCAGGGCTCACCGAGCCAGCCCTAACTATAAGCTTTATCAAAGAGGAACATCTTAAGCCTACTCTTAAATTTGGTGAGGATGTCTGCCTCCCGACCCAAACTAGAGGCTGGTTCTACAGGATAGGTTGATAGCTTAAGGTTCTGGCTCCAATCCTACTTTGGAGACTACAGGAACCAGAAGTAACAATGTATTCTGGGAGGGCAGTGTTCTAGTGGGGTAATAGGGTACTATGAGCTCTTTAAGTTATGATGGTGCCAGACAATGAAGAGCTGTGTAGGTGAGGAGGAGGATTTAAAATTGCATTCTGAATTTTAAAGCAGAGCAGAGAGGCTAATACAGGAGTAATAAGATCTATTTCTCCTAGTTTCTGTGAGTACTCGTGCTGCAGCAAATTTAGGATCAGTTATAGCATCTAAATAGACTTATTAAGGGCAACCGGATAAAAAGAAATTGCAGTAATCCAGCCGAGAAGTTACAAATGCATGAATACATTTTTCTGCATCTTTTTGCGACTGGATGTGCCCGATTTTTGCATTGTTACATAGGTGAAAAAAAGGCACGTTTGTTTTATGTGGAATTTAGAAGACATCCTGATTAAAGATAACTTCAAGAATCCTTATGGTGGTGCTGAAGGCCAGGGTAAGGCCATCTAGAATAACTACAGTGGGTACGGAAAATATTCAGACCCCTTTCAATTTTTCACTCTTTGTTTCTTTGCAGCCATTTGCTAAAATCAAAAAAGTTCATTTTATTTCTCATTAATGTACACTCAGCACCCCATCTTGACAGAAAAAAACCAGAAATGTAGAAATTTTTGCAAATTTATTAAAAAAGAAAAACTGAAATACCACATGGTCATAAGTATTCAGACCCTTTGCTCAGTATTGAGTAGAAGCACCCTTTTGGGCTAGTACAGCCATGAGTCTTCTTGGGAATGATGCAACAAGTTTTTCACACCTGGATTTGGGGATCCTCTGCCATTCTTCCTTGCAGATCCTCTCCAGTTCTGTCAGGTTGGATGGTGAACGTTGGTGGACAGCCATTTTCAGGTCTCTCCAGAGATGCTCAATTGGGTTTAGGTCAGGGCTCTGGCTGGGCCAGTCAAGAATGGTCACAGAGTTGTTCCGAAGCCACTCCTTTGTTATTTTAGCTGTGTGCTTAGGGTCATTGTCTTGTTGGAAGGTGAACCTTCGGCCCAGTCTGAGGTCCTGAGCACTCTGGAAGAGGTTTTCTTCCAGGATATCTCTGTACTTGGCCGCATTCATCTTTCCTTCAATTGCAACCAGTCGTCCTGTCCCTGCAGATGAAAAACACCCCCATAGCATGATGCTGCCACCACCATGTTTCACTGTTGGGATTGTATTGGGCAGGTGATGAGCAGTGCCTGGTTTTCTCCACACATACCGCTTAGAATTAACGCCAAAAAGTTCAATCTTGGTCTCATCAGACCAGAGAATCTTATTTCTCATAGTCTGGGAGTCCTTCATGTGTTTTTGGCAAACTCTATGCGGGCTTTCATATGTCTTGCACTGAGGAGAGGCTTCCGTCGGGCCACTCTGCCAGAAAGCCCCGACTGGTGGAGGGCTGCAGTGATAGTTGACTTTGTGGAACTTTCTCCCATCTCCCTACTGCATCTCTGGAGCTCAGCCACAGTGATCTTTGGGTTCGTCTTCACCTCTCTCACCAAGGCTCTTCTCCCACGATTGCTCAGTTTGGCTGGACGGCCAGGTCTAGGAAGAGTTCTGGTCGTCCCAAACTTCTTCCATTTAAGGATTATGGAGGCCACTGTGCTCTTAGGAACCTTGAGTGCTGCAGACATTCTTTTGTAACCTTGGCCAGATCTGTGCCTTGCCACAATTCTGTCTCCGAGCTCCTTTTTCTTTTTTAATAAATTTGCAAAAAATTCTACATTTCTGTTTTTTTCTGTCAAGATGGGGTGCTGAGTGTACATTAATGAGAAATAAAATGAACTTTTTTGATTTTAGCAAATGGCTGCAATGAAACAAAGAGTGAAAAATTTAAAGGGGTCTGAATACTTTCCGTACCCACTGTATATCTTTAGATAATGTGTTTCAGGTGACCAAGCACCAGACATTCAGTTTTGTCAAAGTTTAACATCAGATATTGCAGGTCATCCAGGTTTTTATGTCCTTAAGGCATTCTTGTAATTTAGTTTATTTAGGCTTCATTGATAGATATAATTGGGTATCATCTGCATAACAATGAAAATTAATGGAAAGATTCCTAATGTTGCCTAAAGGAAGCATATCAATGGTAAATGGACTGTACTTATATAGCTCCTTTCTAGTCTTTTGACCACTCAATGCGCTCTACACTACATGCCACACTGCCACCAATTTATTGAGGTTCCTTTAATGCCAATAAGATGCCATAGTCTCTGCAACAGGATGCAATGATCAATGGTATCGAATAACACTAAGATTTAAGTCTATTGTCTGATGTAATTAAAGTGTAAGTAAGTGTAGTTCAGGTTAGTCCACTCCACACACAGTATCTGGTCGGCTAGCATGCGCTATGCATCCTGCACGTTGGCATGTGGTGGAATATACAAAGGGACCAGAATAAATGAAACAAATTTGCGGAGGAGAAAGGTTCGCAGTTTATGAAAAAAGATTCCAGATAAGGAGAGCAGTGCTGCATGATCATTGTTACATCATTACACCAGCCACCGTTAGTGTAAAAACAGATACCTCCGCCTTTTGTTTGGCCGGAGAGTTCTTGTCACAATCCACTCTGAAAGATCTGTCATTATGTTATGCAGCCCCATACACAACAAACTGCAATGCACTGTGTTCTGACACCTTTCTATCAGAACTAGCATTAACTACAACAGCTTGTCTGTTTGATTGGATCACACGGGCCAGCCTTTGTTCCCCACGTGTAACATGACCCATTGTCTGGTTTACCACTGTTCCTTCTTTGGAATACTTTCTTTCTCAAGTAGCTTGGATATTACATTACATTAGATTATACTATCGTGCTAAATATTAAGATTTTGTCATTCTAAGTGTTAAGCTACAGGTAAGGTAAGATATTTATTTGTCACATGCACAGTTATACATAGTACAATGCACAGTGTACAATGCACAGTGAAATGTAAATGGTAAATGGACCTGTACTTGTATAGTGCCTTTCTAGTCTTCCGACCACTCAAAGCGCTTTAAACTATGTGTCACATTCACCCTTTCACACACATTCACTCAGTGATGGCAAAGTCCATTGAACAGAAACTAACTCATTCATACACATTCGCACACCGATGCACGGCATCGGGAGCAATTCGGGGTTCAGTATCTTGCTCAAGGATACTTCGACATGTGGCACCAGGAGCCGGGGATCGAACCCACGACCTTCCGAATCTGAGCCATAGCCGCGCCAAATGTATTCTTTGTACCTGCAGCCAGTAGTAAAAAAATACTATAGGTTACTCAAATGGTGAATTATGAATGTGATCAGCCTGTAGAAATGTAATCTATTTGATTATATTGTTATTTATTTAAATTAAATTATTTTTATTTCCTGTTTTGGATGCTGTTTATAAAAATTGTTTGCCAATGTTTATTTTTTTAAAAGGTCCAAATAAGGAGCACTGCTCTCATCTGGGCACCGTCTTTTGTGTAAATGATAGTAATTAGTACGCTAATTAGTTTTGACAGAAGCAAGTTTATTTAGTTATTTTTGGGCTTGTTGATGTATGTTAGGCATAAAGCTCTGCATTCCTCAGGTTCAATTAAATTTTACTTGTATAGCTCCAATTCATAACAGAAGTTATCTCAGGACACTTTTCAAATAGAGCAGGTCTAGACCAAACTCCTTATAACATTATATACAGAGACCCAACAGTACCACCATGAGCAAGCACTTGGCGACGAGGGCAAGGAAAAACTGCCTTTTAGAGGCAGAAACCTAGGACAGAACCTTCGGCTGTAGGTGGGTGGTTGTCTGCCTCGACCAGTTGGGGTGAGAGAGAGAGAGAGAGAGAGAGAGAGAGAGACGCACAGCAACAACAGTAGCAACAACTACACTAATAGTAGTAGTGACTGATGAAGAAGATGATGACGACGACAACTGCTACGATGGGGGACAATGAGCAGTGACAATAGTAATAGTAGTAACTGTAGTAATAATAATATTAATAATAATAATAACAATAATATCAGTGATATTAGCAATGGCAGTCAAACAGGACCATGGCAGGAGGCTCCACCAGGATCCATGAGAACCTGCGAGACGAGAAAGCACAAGAACTCCGGGGAAGAAGTGAAGGTAGTAACATGCATTAATGGGACATGAATGAGTGCAGACAGAGAGAGAGAGAGAGGAAGAGGGAGCTCAGTGCATCATGGGAATTCCCCCGATAGTCTAGGCCTATAGCAGCAATTAAGGGATGGTTCAGGACTCACCTGAGCCAGCGCTAACTATAAGCTTTATCAAAGAGGAACGCCTTAAGCCTACTCTTAAATGTGGAGAGGGTGTCTGCCTTCGGAACCAAAACCGGAAGCTGGTTCCACAGGAGAGGAGCTTGGTGACTGAAGGCTCTAGCTCCTGTTCTACTTTCTGAGACTATAGGAACCACAAGTAGCCCTGCATTCAGAGAACGCAGTGTTCTAGATGGGTAATAGGGTACTATGAGCTCTTTAAGATATGAAGGGCCCTGACCATGAAGAGCTTTGTAGGTGAGGAGGAGGATTTTAAATTCTATTCTAAATTTTACAAGGAGCCAGTACAGAGAAGCTAGTACAGGAGAGATGTGATCTCTTTTCCTAGTTCCTGTCAGTACTCGTGCTGCAGCGTTCTGAATTAATTGGAGTGTCTTAATGGGCGGCTGTGGTGCAG